ACCAGTTAAAGTATTAATGGTTTCACAGTTATGGAAACGTAGTATCATATTGTAATGACTTTCCGTAAGGAATGTGAAACCAATGATAAAAACATGCGACATTTAAATTTGACTTTAAAACCTCAAAAGACACGTATTAAACTCTAGTAAAACTACCCGTAATATACACGTGCTTTTGGTTTACGCCTGGATCGTGAAAAACACGTGCCTATAAAAAAACTAGATGTGCCGATAGGGTATGATGTTATGTTTTACAAATCTAAATATTACTTAAATTTTAATTTTTTGTGCTTTTATGTTGTTGTTTATTGTCGCTGTTTATAAAATATCTGTACTTTTTTTTGTTACAAGTTGATATTTTAAAGAAATGATTGTCCAACAGCCTTAATCTTATTTAAATTTTCCAGGAAACCGCAATTCTGACTTTTTGATTACTTAACGCAGTAGAGTTAGTGAATAGGTTGTTAAAGTGAGTCAGTAAAATTTACATAGAAAATTAAAACCAAATTCTTTGACAAAATCAAATTCTTTGACAATACCAAATTCTTTGACAATACCAAACTCTTTGACAATAGGTGTGTGAAACAAGTGAAATTTTATTATTTTCAGTAAAACTATTTCTGCTTGTAATAAAAAAAAACTATCAGAAAATATTTTGTTTATTTTTCAGAATTCAAAGTTTTTATAAAGTGTACAATTGAGTTATATTGTAATTTTGCTCGGTTGATTTTAGTACCGTCGAGAGAAGCGGGGGCGGGAGATATCCAAGGGGTGTCAAATAAATTTTAGGTACCTAAAACAAGAAAAAAAAAAAAAAAAAAAAAAGTCCTTCATATAAAATATAGGGAAAATTTGATAAATAAGAGCTAAACACGAATATTAATTTCTGTATGAAACGTTTAAACAGTTAAATAAAGCTTATAAAAAACTTTTATAAATTTAGACTACTGCTCTTACATCGAGGAGTGATAACAAATCTTTAAAAATGAAATATAAGTTTGTTTAATTATTTTAACTTATTTTTTTCAATTTTAATTATCTTGAATTGTTTTTTTTCTCAGAGTACTATTTTTAACATCCTGCAATAAATAACTTAAATAACTTACTTGTTGTAGTGCTTTGAGATTTTGTACAATTGTAGTAATATGATAAACTCATTGAAGCAATAAATTTTTTTGATTTTATTCTTGAGCAGAGTTATGGTGTTCTAAAGTGAGCGATTTTGGGATAAATTTTGGCTTATTAGTTGTTTATACTATAAAATCTTCATACTTTAAGCTAAGTTAATGATTTTGCTTTAATGAGTATCTTGTTATAAGTAAACGCTGAAAGTTTTAGCTTTCATAGGAACTACCATTATCTCAATACCTATCGATGAATTTCTTGGCTTTTTTATGGTTTGTGACACAAAACCAGTGTTCAAATGTGAAATTTTTATTTTCTATTTTTTTCTAAAGCAATTTTTTAATATTATCTGAAAAATAATATTTGTTGAAAATAAACGATTTTAGAAACTTGATCACCTTTATTTATTGTAGTTGTTAAATAGATGTTATTAAGTTTATTGCAGTTAATAAATATAATAAATATTTATTAACAGGTAATATTATACTCTAATAGCAGTTTTCATTTAACTTGATTAGAAATCATTGAAAGGCACTAAGATTTTAATTGATTTCTAAAAAAATAACTCCTTTAAAATAGTGCTTTTAATAATTGCATAGGCTAACAACAACAAAAATTTTGTTGTTGTTGAACTAACTATACGATTTATTATTCCATTTCTCAGAGGTAAAAGTTAATAATATTGTAAAAAAAAATTTTTTTTTTACCAAAGTATGTCAATCTGAGTCTCAAATAAAGCGTACTTTCATAGAGATTTTTAATGTATTTATAATTCCTTAAAATATTGATTAAATTTAATTTCATTTTTTTTTTTTCAAAATTAAATTTATTTTTACTAATTAACCAATTTTCTTAGATTTAAACTTAAAAAAAAAGTTGCTATAGTATTGCAAAAGTATATAAAATAGTTGCTCTATTGACACATTTATACTACCTTGTTTATTTTAGTTAAAATCTAAACGAATGATATCTCATTTTTTTATAATTTAACTTAAACTACGCTTTACTTACGCAAAAAATCTTTAGTTTTTTTGCGTATTACGCATTTTTATTGCGTGTTTTTGCAAATTTGCGTATTACACATTTCGCAGAGTTTGCGTAAAGTTATTTTTGCGCAAAAGCTACGCTTTACTTAAAGTAAAGCGTAGCTTTTGCGCAAACTTAACTTTACGCAAAAGCTACGCTTTATTTTATGTAAAGCGTAGCTTTTGCGCAAACTTAACTTTACGCAAACTCTGAGAAATGTTTGTGAATACCAAATAGTTGCGAAAAAATAAATTTACGTACGATTTCTATAAGTTACGAAAGTTTTGTGAACCCGGACCCTGTTGTTTTTTTTACTTTTTTTATACCATTTTAATCATATTTATATATATATATATATATATATATATATATATATATATATATATATATATATATATATATATATATATATATATATATATATATATATATATATATATATATATATATATATATATATATATATATATATATATATATATATATATATATATATATTTATACATATTTATGTAACGTATAAAATAAAACGCTGAATCAGCGTAGAAAAATATAACCATTTTCCGACTTTAAATAAACGTTTTATCAACATTGGTTTTTAGTTGTTGGAGACGTCGCATTTGTAACCATAATGATATAAAAACAACGCTGGCAGCCGATGTTGGGCCAACGAAACGCGCAAAATTGTTTTAATGTTTTAAAAACCGTATGGGTGCTAACTGGGATCTTGACCTTGGCCTTTCTATAAGGCCAAAAATTGAGGACTTAGTCTTGGCCTTAAAATTGTTGGCCTTGGCCTTGAAATTATCGACCTTGGCCTTGATTGTTTTGGCCTTGACCTTAAAGAAAATACCTACCCGACGGGCATTTGTTTTTAAAAGTTACGATCTAAATGTATTTTAAATATCTTTTAAACGTCTTTTAAACATTAATGTTTAAAAGACGTTTAAAAGATGTTTAAAACACATTTAGAACGTAACTATTAAAAGCAAATACCCGTCGGGTATTTTCTTATTGACTTCATTGAAATCTGCGCATAATTTTGCTCCATTTTTACAAAATGTGGTTGTATTGTCACAATACTTGCTACATACAGTTTTGTTAATAACTGGTTTAACAAAAGGTAAAAGTTGTCTTTGGTCTTTAAATGTTTGCGTCGGCCTTGGCTTTGAAACTTTTAATCGTGACCTTGATCTTAAAATTCTTGGCCTTAGCGTTGTCTTTAGCCTTTTAACTTTTGGCCTTGGTCTTAACCTTGACCTTTTAACGTGTAGCCATAGCCTTGTTAACAACTCTGCTTTACACTTTTATATTTTTAATTTTTAATCTACTGACAAGAAAATAAATAATTTATTTAATATTTATAATTCTTTATTAGATAAAATTATTCAGCAATTAGGAGTTAAAACAATCCTTACATAGCAAAAAGCTTAATTTACCGGTAAATTACAAAAATTTACCGGTAAAAAACTTGAACCCAATTTAGGTGTTTACGAGTAAACTGATAGCCGGTATTACAATCCCTAATAACAGCAACAACAAAGATTTAGTACGAAGTAGAGAATAGTTGAATAAAAAGAGATAAATAAATAGATAATTAAAGAATGTCAAAATATTAGTATTAATATTATTATTAATATGAAAAATTTAATAAAAGTACTAATAATGGCAGATGGAAAACCAGAGGAATTAAATGTAGACCGATAAACATAGATTTTCAAAAAGTTAAAAATATCAAATTAAAAACTAAAGAATCACGAATTCATAGGAATTTCAATATTAATTTGTAAAAATATTTAATTTTATATTTTTAACAAATAATCAAAAAACTTGGTTTTGAATTCAGAGATTGAATTAAGAGATTTTAGATCAGGAGGTTGTTTGTTCCATGTGCCAATACATTGATATTTAATGGATTTATTTCCATATTTAGCAGAGTGGTGTTTTGGAATAATTAAGTTTAAGTTATTGATGGAACGAAGAGGACAATGACAATTTGTACTTGTAAAGAAATTGTTGAATGATAAGGGTAGGTTTTTGTGATGATAACTCCAGACAAACTGACAGTTACCTCAAAGTCGCTTAACTTTAATATATTGAAGATTAGAGATTATTTAATATATTGAAGATTAGCACATTAGATTTAAAACTATTATACTGAAAATATATTATTTTCAAGGCTTTATATAGGAGATGGGACACCTTAAAAAGATTTGTTTATGAGATTGTCTCCATACTTGACATGCATATTTTAAATGGGACCCAAGGATAGCACGATATATATTTAGCAAAGTTCCTAGATTTACATAATGACGGAGTTTGGCTAACATTCCATTAGATCTGCTGAGCTTCATTGCTAAGTCATTTTGATGGCCTTGAAAAAAAAAAGATTAGAATCAATTTTAATCCAAAATACTTTATAGAGTCTAAAGGATAATTAAAGTAACTAAATAAAAGTTAAAGTAACAGATAATTAAATTATATAACTAAAATAAAGTTACATAACTAAAATAAAGTTACATAACTAAAATAAAGTTACATAATTAAAATAAAGTTACATAAATAAAATAAAGTTAAATAAAATAAAGTTACATAACTAATTTAAAGCTTCATAATTAAAATAAAGTTACATAATTAAAGTAAATTAAAGAAAACTAAGCAAGAAACCAAAGTATCAACTGTTATTTCACCACATTATCAATGATTATGGAACAGTAAAATTTTTTTCATGAAAAAAAAAATAACGTTGACGAAAAAAACCACAGAAGATATTAGCTACTAAAGGAAGAAAACAAATAGGGGCACTCAGTAGTGCTGAACGTGTTCGGCAATTGACTATAGTATGTTGTATGAATGCAATAGGAACATTTGCACCACCAATATTCATATTTCCTAGAAAAAGAATAAAAAATGAGTTGATGGATAGCGCTCCATTAGACAGTAAAGCATTTTGCCAGGAAAAAGGGTAGATGACAGTGAGTTTTTCTTAAAATGACTTGAACAATTTGTGCACCACTCTAGTGCATCAAAAACTAACAAAAAACTACTTTTATTAGAAGGCCAAGTTACTCATAAAAGCTTGGCAGTTTTGAAATATGCAAAAGAAAATAGTGTTGTAATATTTTGTTTTCCAGCACACTGTACGCACCGAGTCCAACCACTTGATGTTGTATTTTTTGGTCCATTACAGACATATTATGATCAAGAGATTCAGACATGGCTAAGGAAACATCCCGATAGAGTAATGACACATTTCCAGGTTCCTGGACTTTTGAACAATGCATATTTAAAAATTGCAACTTTAGCAAAGGCTGTGCACGCTTTTGCCAAAACTGGAATATATCCTTTCAATCCCAATATTTTTGAAGACTGGATGTTTGTGCCTTCATTAACAACATAACAAGTTGATATATTTAAGAGCAAAGAAAAAACACAAGAACTTCAGAAAGCATCACAATTTGAAATAGAATTTGAGAAATTAACTTATTTTGAAATAAGCTCACCAACATTAGACTGAACACAAGAACTTGAGAAATCAACTCATTTCGAAATAAATTCTTCCACATCAGGAAAAATGCAAGAACTTGAGAGTTCAGCGCATACAGAAGTAAGCTCTCCTGCATCAGATAAAATACAAGAACCTAAGAAATCAACACATTTAGATATAAGCTCTCCTGCATCAGATGTGTCTGGCAGCGTTGAAACTTCTTGTCAAGACAAGAACTGAAATATGGTATACAAAAGTTGTCTCCCTTGCCTTTAGCAACTCCTAAAACTGAAATTAAGCGCACAAGAAAATGTGGGGAAACTGGTCATCTGAATTCTACTCCAAACATCCAAGAATTAAAAGATAAAGCAATAGAAAATGATAATAAGGAAAAAGAAAAACGAACGAGTATAGTTGAAAAAGAAAAAACTATTAAAAAAAGTAAAAGAAAAATATTACTTGTAAAAAAAGGTTGCACTTATGCATATAATACAAGACTTAATAAAATTGATTTTGTATCTGATTGATTGTTTTGTGAAGAACTTTATTCACAGTCTTATTCCAAAGAACCGTCGATTTGCTGCCAAAAATACAACTCTTGGTGTCATTGTTTATGCGCTGGCGTAGATAAAAAACGAAGAAAATTTATATGTGAACTTTGTTTATAATTTTTTGAAGAATATACTTGTATTATTAATGCTAAAAAACAAAAAATACGCTCTGTTTGTGTAATTTATTAAAAGTATGCCATCATAGGAGCAGTTGGTTACCTATGATGGCATACTCGTACTTTTTTAAAAGTTGAAATAACTTTCAAAAAAGTAAAACTGATAAAAATTTTAAGGGTTGTTATTGTTCTACATGTTACTAGGAATGTACCGATATCAACATTTTTATTTTTGGTCTTCAGGTTACTTTATAATGAATCTTCAAAGTTAAGTATGCCATCATAGACACCTTTCCCCTAGATAGAAATCTTTCATGAAAGATTCACATCAAACTACTCAATTTACCAATCTGCACAATATCTAAGAAATAATAAAAACGCATTTTCAATTTTAAATATTAACATCCGAAGTCTAAATAAAAACTTTAAAAATTTTAAAAATTTTTATTGGACAAAATAAAACATGATTTTAGCATTATTTTTCTAACAGAAACGTAGTGTAAATACGATCAACAAAGTACACAGTTTGATTTAATTAATTAAACGTCAATTCATCAACAATGTGATGGTGGCGGAGGCGTTTGTATTTTTGTCCACAATTCAATTATTTTTTCCCTTGTAATGACCTATGCGTTAATGAAACAGATTGTGAGTCATTGTGCATTGAACTTTATAACAAAACCACAAAAAATATAATTGTTAATGCTATTTATAGAAAACCATCTGGTAGCTTAAAAAAATTTAAAATTCACTTAAACACATTTTTAAATAAAGTCAATTAAGAACGGAAGCATATTTACTTTATCGGCGATATCAATTTGAACTTGTTAAAACAAGCTTTAAATAAAATTAAGTTTTACTTATCAAACATGTTTTATTAAATGCATAGATAGCAAATGCAGAGGAAATAAAAAAAAATACAAATATTTTTGATAAAATCTAATATCTAATTGAGTTTATCAATAAAAGTTATGCGTGTATTTTAAAATATGGTAAAAGGTATAATTAAAAAATAAAAAATAATTACCTTTTGATGCCCAAGTGTTACAAACTGATGGTAACTACGTGTTCCAGGTATGGTATTAGCAGTATCCAATCGTTCTTTAAGAGCGGCTCTCACCAAAGTTAAATCTTCTGATGAAATATATATGAAATTTATGCCTTCAATGTTTTCATTGCAATATTTGTACATTGTTTGTGGAGATAAAATATGATTACCCATATCTCTTTGCAAACTTGCTAGTGTTGCCAGACGTTTGACTGTACCACCTATCCCATCACTGGTTGCTTACCGTGACTAGTTGCAAAAAAGTTCTATTTAGCAGTAAAACCTAAATCTTCACAATGGAAACAAAGATTTAACATATTTTTGCAATTCTTATATTGACCTGCACACCCATCTGAAAAGTATTCAATAATTTTTATTTGAGGCAAATTCGTTTTTGTATCATTGCAAACAACCTCAATAAATTTATAAACCATGTTCACATCATGGATCATATCATCCGAAATAATACAATAGGATTTATGTTTGAGAATGCGTTCTTTTTTGAAATAAATAATCACTGGATGAAGTGTACATTGTAAATTTGTCCAATGAAAGCTTTGCACTTCATACAGAATGTGTGAATAGACGCATACAGAATGTGTTCCTGAGGCACCAACAGTAATACACCATTTAAGTCGCAAGGTGCAAAACCTAGAAAACCCTATTTTTATTTCTGGGTACTTGGTTTTAAAGGCAACAAACAATTCCTTTAAATTACATAAGAGCAAACGTTTTTGCATGTGGACATTTTTCTTTATGCTTACATAGTCCTTTTTACCAGGCATTATACGGCTATGTTCATCGTCTTCGTAAAAGGTCTTGACCAGTTAAACTGTTACATTAGAAAGAACTTTTCCTAATATAGGATTAGGCATGGTTGAAATACCTTTTTCTAATGTTAACTTACGTGCAGTTTGAGCTACATAGTTTGTTACATGCAATGTTTCAGATACCTTTTTTATTGACCAGTCTGTTGGAGCAAGAGTCGCAAGTTGTACTTTTTTTGATGATGATGTAGACTCTACAATTTTGTTAGTTAACAATACCATCATGTTATCAAACAAGCTTGCTTTTTCCATATACTCATTATTAAAACTTGACTGTTCTTCAAATCTTTCTTCTGATATGTTAAGGGAAATGGCTACCTTTTTTTTAATGGAGGTTGTTAATGCTGTCAATTTTCGTTTACCTTCTCTAATTTTACCTGACTTGTGCAATCCTTTGACCTTAATTGAAGATACTCCGGCAGATGCAAAGTGTTTTTCTTTCTTTTTTATTTTGAATGAATCTTTCATTAACAATATCACAATCTTCATCATTTTTATTTTCACTTATACTTTTTGAAAAACATGTCATAATTTTACTTCGACAGGTTTTTCCAGGTATAAGATTTAAACCTATGGTTTCTGCTTCTAACACAGAATGCATTGTAATCACACGTAGAGATGCTTAAAAAGAAAGTAATTACATTACTTAAATAACATTAATTGTATATATTATGTAATTATATTTCTATACAATTTGTTATATTAATAACTATGAAACATCGAACAAATCTTATTACCAAAAAAACTTATATGACTTATTAATAATGATATTACGTAATGAAATATAAATATATAAATTTTTATCTATACACACCTTTTGGTGACTCAGAAATGGATTACAGCAACTTTTCTGATTACCCTCATATCTTACAACTAACATATCATGATGGTGTGTGCATATATTAGTAATTTGTTCTTGTTTCAGATTTGTTTTTCAAGTAGCTTACGATTATTGCTGTCAATATTTTCAATCAGATTTTTTTCTTGAGTATATGATTGTTTATAACAAGCTTCATAGTTATTTACAAAGCAGCAATTAATTTTGTTATCCATATAAAAATATAATGAGGAATCTCTGTCTAAACACTTAATTCAAGAAATCTTAAATAATCTTAATGTCCCTAACAAGAAAAGTACACTTGAACACACACAATATCATATCAATATGTATTTATAAAGAACATATTGCTTGAATAAGTAGCTATTAGTTTAATAGACATATTTTAAATGCCTAATTATTGTAAATTCTCCATTAACTACTTACAAAAAGTTGTGTAAAAGTAAAAGATAACTAAATATAATTTTATTTAGTTATGTAACTTAACATGGTAATGTTAATTAGACATTATTATATCATTATATTACTTTTTTTATTGATGATGATAAATGTTTTATTACAACAAAACAATCAACAACAAAAGTTACATAATATTGTTAAATTTAATGACTTGATATTATGTAATGAAAATGACATTATTATTATGTAATGAAAATATAAAGAAACAAATTTATAAAATGTTCAACTATGTTTTGCAATAACTTTGTAAATTTTTTCCAAAGCTATTACAAAACAAAAAGAATTCTATTTGTATTCAAAAGATATTTGCAAATTTTTTTTTTTTTTTTTTTGCAAAATTTCTATATTTTTTATATTGGTCTTCAGGGTACTTTATAATGAATCTTCAAAGTTAAGTATGCCATCATAGGTACCTTTTCCCTAGTTAGAAATCTTTCATGAAAGATTCACATCAAACTACTCAGTTTACCAATCTGCACAATATCTAAGAAATAATAAAAACGCATTTTCAATTTTAAATACAATTTCAGTTTTTCTAAAAATATATATCAAAATATATATATTTTTAGAAAAATTGAAAAACTAAAACATCAATAACTCCTTGATAAATCATAAGGCCAAATAAAAATTGGTTCGCAAAGTAGATATATGTTTAATATTTAAAATAACGAAAACCAAAACTTTTTTTCATCAGTCAGATTTTTTCTAGAACTATAGTTGTCAATGGCCTTTTTTATTGTCATTAACAAGTGCGTTTTGTGAATCTAAAAATAAACTATATTTTATTGTTTTGAGAGATATAAGTTTATGGTTTTCAGATTTAGCATGTTTAAAACTCCTTTGGTACCAAGTTCTAGCTTCGCAACATTACTGCAAGCTTGTTAAAAGGGTAATGGTAAATTGACATATTTCCGGCTTTATCCCCCCTCTTTTTTCAGTCAAAAAATAACTAACTTCAAGTTGCTGTAAATCTTAAAGGGTTAAGAATTTTTTGAAAAAATTTTACAGTCTTTTCTAACTTATATTTTTAAACATTTATGCCAAGTTTCAGCGAATTTGGTGATGCAGGGTGCA